AAAGTTTTATCTGTTGGGCCAAAAAGTGTAAAAATTTAATACAAGGCTCCTGATATATTGTTACAAGCAGTTGAAAAATATTAAAAATACATAGGCACAGTTTTTTTTTATAAGCATTTAAAGATCAAATTTTGACAAAATTTATCAAAATCTCGAAAATTATCAATCATTGTAATTAATAAATTATAAAATGTTCAGTTTTTATAGCTAAGGATTGCAAATTCAACACAAAGGTTCTCGTAAATAGTTCATACTGTAACCAATAAATCTAAAAAATATATGAACACACTTATTTTTTACAGACATTTTAAATTCAAATTTGGACGAAATTACATATTAAAATCCTAGAATAACTATTTTAGTTATTTTGTTGTGATTGAATAATATTATTCGTGGGTACTTGAAACTTCTAAAGTGTACTATTATATATCTATGATAGTATCACGGTTTTTGTTGATGTATAACGTGTTATAAGTATCTAATGGATATTGTGATATGATTAATTTGGAATTAATTATAGGTACCTATTATAGGTCAATTTTATGTTTAATACCATAGATATGTATATATAATATGTCTTATACATAGACTGAAATACCGTCACCGCTCAGAATCGTTTTTCTTATACAATGATATTATATCATTGAATTCAAATTTAATACCATCCATTATACAGTGACCCACTTGTAACCTACTGTACAGCAGAGCGACACCCACTTGCCCACCTTTTTTTAATCGTATTTGAAGCCTATTTGTCTTGTTTACTTATAGTTTGTTTAGAAAATCTGCCAACTGTGATTAGCTTTCAGAGTTTTGATAGAACTTGGATTTCAATTTTGTTTCCGAATACAATACTCATTTTCCGATTATTATTATAATATTATCAAATATCAATATCATATTATAGGCATAGTAGGTAGGTACTGAATAAAAGCTATCAAATAAAAATTATTTCTCTTAGGTATTGTAGCAGGTGCATATGTACAGTTACATTGTAGACTTGTAGTCATTGTACATACCTAGGTATATTATAAATCAGAACATAGATTCCTTGCTTGTTGATTTGAGTTTCCTTGCTTTTATTCCTGATACTTGCTTGAGATTCCTTGCGGGTCTTGTTAAACTTTTAACTTTTAGGTACCTATAGCCTATAGGTATAGGGGTATAGGAGTCTGTGGCTTAATGTTTGAAATAATATATAAATTTAAAATTGTTAGTACCTAGGTAGGTTGTAATGTCTTCAATGAGTTATACAATGTAAACACACATTTCGTACAAACTACAAATATTCAATCGTCGTTTACTATATACCTACCTACGTGGCTACGTCTATAGAACTCTGAACTACCTTATAGGTATAGGTACCTACGTTGTACCCACTTGGAACTTATTGTAGTACGGCCACTGTCCAGGGAACGGATTTTTGTTTGATCACATATTTTTCGTTGAGTAATGATAATGCACATCTGATTACGCATAATGTCATAAATCATGATAGGAATGTTGAATAAATTATTTCAAATCATGTAACTGTTTTACCTATATTATTGCAAATTTGGACATACCTACCTACCTACACGCCCATCGTGTATATAATTAATTATATATTTCATAAACGTCCGGTACAACGTTAATAATGTTGGATCGGTATTTTTTTTCTTAACAATTTAAATCTATTGTATCGATCAGTTATTGTTTATACATGTAACCTATAAAGGTAGGTTACCTAAGTACTGGACAATAATATAATACGTCGATTTACTCGATAATTAGGCGATTAAGTGCAGTACCTACCTAAAATTGATTAGAAACTTTTAATTATAATAATTGTTTTATTTTAAAATTTAAAATAGGAATTTTGATTGCATAGTCAAGTGTTAAGGTCCATAACGATTTGCCTATCAATTATTACAAAGCTAAAGATACCTCCAACGTCACTACTTCTAATATGGATATTGTGTTCGGCCGTATTAGAGAAGCCTATATTGGTCAATCAATAACCATCCATTGATAATGTACTTATGATGGTTCAGCACACTGTCGATTGAAAGATAGAACATTTGAGGAGATATAATAATGGCAGCTGTTCATGATTCTCACAATAATAGGTAGGTAGGTAGCTAAAACATAGGTAGGTACCTAATTCAATTTTTTTCACAAAAGTCTCCCGGTTTATAACTCAGCGAGTTCTCAAGAGTTGAAGTTATCGGAGAAACCCACCACAGATTACCAGTAATTTTAGCTGGAGACTATATTTTCAAATTCATTCATTCCATATTTCCATGTATTCAAAAGCGGTGTTGTTGATATTATGAATTCGGCCTGACGATATCAGCTTTATGGCGACATCGTGGAACTGCATAAGTAATGCGAAATCTATTTCCGTGGAGTCGTTAGTTCCAAAACGCAATAAAGATACATAACATATTCACCGAGCTCATCCCCATTTTTTCCTTTAATAATCAAATTATTAAAATTTAGATTTTTGAGAATTTTTAAATATAGGTACCTTTTATCAAATTCTTGATTTTTTTTTTTTTTGTATCATGTGGCGATAAAAACCTTTGTTTTTCCAATGAGACCCCCTCCCACTTTTTTACTTTAAATTATTAAGTAGATAATTTTTTTTGAAAATATTAATGTACTCCATTCGAAATTCGTGTGAGAAGTTTCTCAGTTATTAAATTGTTTATTCTAAAGATAATAGTGCTCAAAAGTGGTTTTACACAAATATAAACCAGATGTTGACATGTTTTAAGTATTGGATCTAGTATTTATTACACTTGGAGTTTGACCATTTTTACAAATTATTAATTTTGATGAATTAATATTAATCACTAACACATTTGAATCACCATAGCCCCCAAATCCATTATTATGGACATTAAAAACTACTTGTTTGAATTTTAATTCGGATATGTCAATATTTTCAGAAAAATTATCTAGTAAATAAATTACAGAGAATTTGAATAATTTCATTATTAAAAGAAAAAATTGGGGTGAGCATGCTTGGTGAATCACTCTCTAATACATGCATTATAATGCCTCTAATTAAGTATTTCAAAATATTACATTTCAAAACTTAAGTTGTTCAAATTCAATATGACATAACTTTGCATATATTTTTCATGAATATTTCTTTACATCATTACAGTGACAAACCAAACCAAATATTACCAGTTTTGTTTGCATTAAATTACTTTTTTAAACCATGCTTTTATGCGGGTGCCGAGTATTGATACATATACAGGGTGTCCCGTGAGGATTTACTCATTAGCCGTAGAGGGGGACTCGCCGCCCGGACAAAAACCAGTTTATTGACGTTTTACTAATAAACTAAAAAAATTATTAAAAATCATGAGATTAATGAAAATAAAATGTTAAAAGCTCAAAATGTTCACAAAAATATACTCTATAGAATGGCTATCTTCAATTTTTTCAAAAATAAAAAAATAAAAAAATAATTTTTTTAACATTTTTACTAAAAAATTTAATTTAATAAAAAAATAAAATATTTGTAGTGCTTACCTCTGCGAGTCTTAATAAAAAAACATAATTACGATATCTCCATTATTTCAGGAGATATCACAATGAGTAAATCCTCACGGGACACCCTGTATATTATTCAATATTGAATATTATATTTTAATTTCTACATTCACTTTTATAAGTTTCTTATAAAATATGATAACAAAGATATGTAACTGAAGTAGTTATACATTTTTATTAAAATCTTTTTATACATATTTATACTTCCTGAGATTTTTTGAATAATTAATTTCAGCAGCGGATTTAGAGGAGGGGGGGGGCTTGAGAGCTGAAACACCCACCTTCAGTTTATTGAATTTGTTTTTATTATAAATTAGTTGGATATCAGGTATCACGTAGAAGTTGTCAGAGCGTTATGAAGGGAATACAAAAGTTTAAACATTTTTTAAATATGTTTGTTTAATAGGGATGCCAATGCCAACGGCACTGGAAGTTGTAGAACAAAACATACTATTTGTGGACTATTATCAAAAAATAGGTCAAATTTGTTTTTACACTGAAGTTGTTCATGATAAGTACCCAAGGAGTTTCATAATCAACATTCAACGTTAGCACCCGCCATAAAAAAATCATAGATCCGCCACTGCTTAAGGACACAATGTGTGATGATTACTTAAAAATATACTGGATAAAATAATAATTGTTTTTTAAATGTGGGACATATTTATAGGTTATAATATTTTAATTATACAGATCCAATTATTCCGTTAAAATGTGATCATTAATGCACATTTCATTAAGATAATGTCAGTGCACTACTTGTTTTCTCTGTCCAAACTATGTGCAACATAAAAAATTTACATTCAGTAGAATCAATTTTATGTTGTTAGCTATAATATTAGAGAGAAATATTAGATATAATATAATTTATAGAATTATACAATTTTATGCCTTTAAAGTGAATTTAGTTATTATCAAACTTAAATTAAGAAAGATGACCTGAATTTCTATGTATGTAGGCTTTTTTTACGATATTTTAATTTTTATGCAAATTATAAGTGTGTAAAATTAACAATTCAAAAAATATGGTCATATATTGCAGAAAAATTCAAATATAAAAAAATTCAAAGTGCTAACATAGATAATATTCTTAGCTTTAAGTTTGATAATAGTTTTATTCAATCTAATATTAAAACTAACTCCAAAAAATTGGTTCTGCTGAAAACTTATGAGTCAGAGAGAGAACAGATAATGCTGACATTGTTTTAAAATTGGAAGTTTGATCATATAAATGTATTTTTAGTTCACATTAGGTGAATACAAGGTAAATAAATCAAATTAAGTTTAATGTACATTAATGATAACATATAAATGTAGTAAATAATTTAAAATAAACTTATTTAATTATTGCATAAAAATGCATAAAAAATACAAATATTATTAAAGCTATGATTTCAATTATTAGCTTACAAAAAAAAAAATATTGATAATTTACATTCAAATATACAAGATTAATCAGCAATACTATTACTATTCTTTTGCAGTTTATTGACACTTGACTTGATACTTCTTTCAACACTGACTTGAGAAGCTGCATGTGCAAATTGTTTACTAAAAATGTTTTAACATGTTAATTATTTGGAGTACTTAAAAACTTTATAGACAGGTTACTTACATTAAAAACTCTTTGTTATATGGTTTTTGTTTTTCTTCCTCTTTTTTATCTTCTTTTCTATAACGTTTGACATTGGAAGAACGTTCTTTATCTCTTATTTTAGCATTTTCCATCATTTCTATTCTCATTTTCTCCATTTCTTTTTCAGTCAATTTCTTTTTCTTGGCAGGTGGTGTTTTGGGTCGGACAATACTTGAATTTTTTTTTTCTTTTATAGATGCCGGACTGTTAGATGATCTTTTTACAATGTTACCTTTAGGAACCTATTAAGTAAATAATTTATTATTATTGACTTATTTATTGTATTACAGTTCATGCTAGGATACAAATAAAAAATATAATTCACATGTTATAGATAGTGGCTTACATAATATTATATATTAACCAAGATATAAAAAGACAATATTAGCTGGAACTAAAAGAACTATGGTTGTCTTGGAAATCCGAAATTCACATAATTATTTTTATAAGTTAGATGTGTAGTTCGTGGTGAACAAATAATCAAATAATTATAGCTTATGTTGTATAAACAACATTTATTTTTTCTTACACAATATAATATAATAATTGTATTTCGAAACATTGAAAACTTGAAACATTCCACTGTTACCTTCTAAACACAATAAAATTTTCAAAATATTTAGATTAATTATTAAGCTATTTTTAGGAATTTTAGAATTTAGAATTTTTTTTTTTAAGTGTATATAAATATTTTTAGGCGCAGTAAAAAAGCTTGACAAATAATTAATATGAGAAATTGAAAATCAACATAAGTAGGTCTTTTTGCAATTTAAAAATATTAAAAAAAAATAATTTTGATTTTTTTTTTACGAGTGTTTAAAGTTAATTTTTTTAATAAATTCTTTGAAATGACAAAAATGTGCTAATTATTTTAAAGTTAAAAATGTATAAAATGTTCAATTTGTATAGCTAAGGCTTGAAAAATGTATTAAAGGTTCCTCATAACTAATTCTTATTTCTTACTGAAATCCAAAAATCTATAAAAATATTTAACTAAACACAATTTTTTTTTATAGTCATTTGAAGTTAAAAAAATGTCGACAAGATATACATAATATATTATTATATTTTACTATATGCAATGATATTTTCAAAAATATTTCCTATTTATACTGCATTACTAATTGTAAAATTAATTACTAAATTAGTAATATACCTAAATTAGTAAATTATATACCTAAATAGACTTCAGCAGCAAAAAAATGGTCAAAAGCCAATACAATAATTTTTAAATATTTTAAAATGAAAAGACTAAAAACGTTTGAAATGGTTAGAATTGAGTATTTCAAAAATTATCTTTAAATTTTTACTTGATTATTAAGAAAATAAAATAATTAGTATTAAAATAATATATTTTTTCATTGTTATGGTATCATTTTAATTGTACATATGAGTGTTTTAATAGGGATGACCCACCACTACATTATGATATATAAAACATTTTGTCTTGTAATACTACTAATACTGAAAGAATTTATTAAGTTGAATATCTTACATATAATCCATAGTTCTTGTTTCCTTTGTGTTCATCAGTTTCTTTATCTGATTGAAGTTCTGGACTATGTCGATGTTTGGAGTTCTGTTTTACTGCATTATTATTCTTTTTTTCATCATCTGAACTTGATGAACTACTGGCTTTCGGTTTGTTTTTATCTTTTTTAATTTCATTTGTTTTTTGATGTTTGTTTCTTTTTGGGGGACTCTCTGATGATCTACTTCTTCGAGTATTCAAATTTTTACGATATCCATACCTATTTTTTGAATCTTTGGAAACCCTTGACTCGTGTTCTTTGTCAGAACTGTTTGGTCTATGATGGTGGTCATTAATTTTAGCCTTATATTTACTTTGCTCAGAGGCACTGATTGGTTTTTTCCGTTCCAATTCTCTATCTGAACTTGGTGTTCGTTTCCTTTTATTATCATGTCTTCTATCTCTATATTTAGATTTAGATTCTTGCTGTTGATATTGTTCAACTTTTTTCATATTATCACCGTATTTTTTCTTATTATCTTCTTCAGCATGATGATTATTTCTATATTTATTTTTTGAAGTTTTATCATTTTGTTCATATTTTTCTTCCGAGATGGATCTGTTACGTTTATTTCTTTTTTTTTTATTATCTTGCTGATTGTCATCGCTATCATCAGTACTCACTGATTTATGTTTTCTGTGATGATCATTGTATTTATGGTCATCATTTTTATGATGTTTATATTCTTTTGTTAATTTATTTCTCTTAGAAAAATCTTTACCATCTGAAGAAGAAATTGACCTCTGTCTATCTCTCTTATTTTTGTTGTCTTTTTGCCTGTCATCACCATATTTAAGAGATTTTTTACCATTTTGTTTTATTTCCTCTCGTTCAAAACTGCCAGACTTTTGTACATACTTTTTTTTCTTGTTCGTTGATTTTTCATCTTCTTCAGAACTAGATGTATCAGTCTTATGTTTTTTTTTGTGTTCTTTTTTATCTTTATGTTTGGTAATTGACAGTATCTTTGCAAGATCTAATCCAGCTTTTTCATATGATTTTAAACGGCTAACTAGTATCATATCTAACTGATGATCATCAATAGTATGTTTTTCTTTTCGAATATTTTGTTGTTTTTTCAGGCGCATCGGATTTTGAAGAATTTTCTGCGTGCATTCAATTTCCCGCTTTTTTATATTAACCAATGGATCTTCTGAAATTTTTTTTGTCAAGTCTACTTGAGAAAATTTATCTGATGCGCATATTTGTGGCGGCAAAATTGAATCTAAAATACATACAATAGTACAATATGAATTATTATTGTAACCTACCTATATTAAATGTTAAGTTAAGCTTAACAATCAAATTCGAATTGATTAATTATAATAGGTACTACCTATAATCTATATCAATATTAAAAGTATGAATAAAATTAGCAACCAAAAACTATTTATCAAACTAATTTATTGTCATAATAAAATATTTACAACAAACTCATAAACATCAATTTTAATTTTTAACACAGATATATTCCAGAAGAGATTTGATATTTTGTTAACCTGGGCATACCTAATTCAAATTATTTTGATATAGGAACCTATTTAATTAAAATTAAAATTTACTTTTACATTTCTTAGACTTTTCATGTTTTATGACAGAATGTTAATATTAAAATATCATATGAGCAAACTATTTTTTTATATGATGAAATATATATTTAGTGTAGGTAAATAGGTACCAACTGAGAACTGATATATTTAATATAATTTGACAAAATGTTATAAATCAATTTTAATCAAATGTTGAATATAAAAACATGTAATAAATAAACTATTGTATATTGTATAAGATATATGTGCAACAACTCTATTGACAATTACCGTTATCTGTGCTTTCGCCATATTTTCTATCGATTTTTTTCCCCAAAAGGTAGTCGTCTTTTTGTACTCTTGTACCATCGTACATCCAATCCATGATAGATGCTTTTGACAAACCTAAAACGTATTACATCTATCTGAATTATAAATAACTGAAGTTTTAAATTGAGTATTAAAATAAATTATCAGTTTCATAATATATTTACCAAGTTATGTCAACGATGAGGTGTATACTGTATTACACTTTATTTTGAACATGAAATGTACGGAACCTTTTAATTATGAAAACTGACAAAATCGTAAATCAATTCAATTATTCAATACAATATGTCAATATGTAATCCACAAAAACAATTTTTAAAATTGCACGCTTTTTTGTTATTGTAAATTATAATGTTGTCTATTGTCATTATCATAAATAGATAACCTGATAACAGCAACTACAGAATCATCAAGTTTTTCACTGAAGAAATAATCGTAGTTCGTACTACTGTAGTGTATCGATACGTATCGCTGTATCGGCATGACTATCGACATTTAATTGTTAATTTTCATGACTAAATAGTCTATTGAGTCATGTTCAATCTGACTATTTGAGGCATGCTCGGTTCAATAACGAGCGTTTTTCTTTTCCGAAGTTACACACTTACACGTGTGGTATACCATCGATACGGTTAAATTGTACATCAATTAATCAAACCATCAAAAGCCAAAGCCCACTTGGTCACTTGAAAAAACGACAATCGTCCAGTCGCACAATTAAGCGAACTCAGTGTTCGCTGCGTTCACATCGGTTGCTGCAATATACATTATTAATAATATTAATATATTATTATTTATTATGTTATTCTGTATTTCTGTGTATCTGACTCTGTGACTGAACAAAAATATTAAACTCCATTTGACTATTCTGAGTTCTGACTTCAATACCTATAGTTCTGCTCTACGAATTACAATGTTACTTGCTACATGACACATGCTAGTTGCACCCACGGTCTAAAATATATATCTATTGATGTATAATATCTGAGTTCTATGATAATATCTTGGTCCGTGGTTGCACCTCCGATTTGTTTGGTATGGGAGTTACCTATTCATGTTTTCTTACGTTTTTTTGGCAAATATAAGCAATATTTTGAACCATGACCCGTCACACACGTCATTTTATAGCTTGTAAAATTACGAAAACATACATAGCCACATAGGTGTGCTACTGTGCTATAATATGCATATAATGTGTAAACATAATACTGTATCATTACTGTGACCGTATAGAGATTAGATCATAATATAAAATCATAGATTTCCATATAGTAGTGTAAAAGTCTGTGTAGGTATACAATATTGGAATCTAAGCCATAGAGTAATGTGACACGGTCATAGATATCAGATAATGGACCTATCACAGGAATAATAATATAATATATTAATTCGTGACCTACATAATATTATATTATATAACAATTGACAACTATAAAAATGAGTCACACTGACCACAGTCCAGTCAGTCTACAGAAAATACTATACTCTATTTTTATTACACAGTATGTTAATTAATTGGAAAATTAGTACGACAGTATTCGAAATATAATACAGATACCTATTGTAGTACAGCTTTTTTTAAATACCCTCCGGGCTCCAGCCACCCATCTCCATTTTAACATGGTCTAAAAAACACTCAAAATTATTTCTATTCTTATACATTTAATTAGCCACTCTGTAGAGCTATTCATTTATAACATGGAGAAAAAACAATTTTGAAATTGGTTGAATATTGAATGAATGAAAGCAACTTTTATTTTCAAAAAACACAGCATAAATATCTCGCACATTTTTTAATTACCTACCTATTACAGCTCTAATTTCGTTACAAAGATCATGGCATCATTGATCTATAAAATTGATACTTCATGGTAGATATATGAAGCAATAACATAAAAATAATAAGTAGGTACATACAAATATATAGGTACAATTTCAACAAGTAGTGTGTTCTATTAGTTATTACCAGGGCTAGGATTTGTATGAAATAAAAAATGGTAAAATATGCATTTTATTTACCAAAATATATCAAAAATATGCATTAAAATTTGTATAAGATAAACACAAAAATATAGTTATAAAAAAAATATTTATTTGTTGCAATACATAAGTGATTGGCTATTTGTCTTAACATAATATAGGTAATTGAGAAAAAAAATTTTAATTTATAAATAAAATTTATAATTCACATTCACTACTTGAAAATAACTAGGTACTTTCGAAAATGAATGTCAAACTATTCAATCTTTTATTGCATACCTATATTGTACCATATAGGATTGTATTTATAAAAATAAAATTTATGTTTGACAAAAAACCAAGTTTTATGAAATATACTATAAAACCTGCATTTTTCGCATTCTTATAATCGAAATATGCAATAATATACATTTTATTCAATATATGCAATAATATGCAAAATAAAAAAACCGCTATTTATTTCATCATGAGGTGGTCAGTGGACATGACTGACAAAATCAATAATCAGAAGTCCCAAAAAAAACATGCTGTTGCATATAACCTAGCCCTGGTTATTACCTATAGTCTATACGGCTATACTCTGCCCTTCTAACTCCTAAGCCAAAAGGCAGTAAACAACAATGTAGTAGTTTTGAGAAAAATAACTTTTTCTGAATCACCATATTATTTTTATCATATTTCAAATTAAATAATAAACTAATGAATGTAATGATTATTGAATAACTTTTCCTGTAGAATCCAATAACCGTCATGGATAATTTATCCATATAGTTTAAAGCTCTATAAGATACCTCTTAACCATAGACATATAAATAATTTATTAATATGTCTATGCTCTTAACACCTCAAAACAGTGGCGTGTATCATAAAAAAAATTGGTGTTGCTCAAATAATTTTAGGTGACCGACCCCTCATAATACTGTTATACCAACCTATAAAATTTCCTAATTTTCTATCAATACCCACCCACCCATATTTAAGGTGTTGCCTGAGCGGGCGATTGTAAACTCCGCCAGAATATCGGTCAAGATAAAAAGGTAATAATAGGTCTATGGTAAACTCCACCAGTTTTTTTTTCTTACTGTAATGGGTATATGTAAACTCAGCCAGTTTTTTTTTTTACCTGGTCAGTGCGACAGCTAGTACTCACATTGCCACGTGCCTTCTCACATTAAATACGTTTACCTACATCTATTGTGATGATATATGTCAAAATTGATAAAATATTGTCAAGGTTAGATCGATTCAAATTATTAATAATTTATAATAATTTATAATTTAAATTATTTATTAATTATTATTATGAAAAATATGATTTGGGATTATTTATTATGATTTTTTATACTATGATTTAAATATTGATATGATATGATATGATATTATATTATAATTTTTTTTTAATAATATATCATATTAATTTTATACTACTATTTGATTTTCTTCACTGGCGGAGTTTACATAAACTCAATTTTACCTGATTTTTTTCAGTGGCGGAGTTTACATGAACCCAATTTTACCTGTTTTTTTTTTCTGGCGGAGTTTACAGTAAAAAAAGGTACTTGTGGCGGAGTTTACATGCCCCCGCCTGAGCAACACTAATTTTACCTCATGTTACACGCCACTGCCTCAAAACGCATATAAGTACTACTATAAGTACTATTACTAATTATTGTTTACAGAGGGAAAATGCAGTATGAGCACATTTATTAATAGCATAAGCATGAAATAATATAAAATAATATTATATTATATTCATGGTCGATGGGCCAAATGCAATCACAGAATAACAACCAGAATGTTAACTGCGGGGTCTTCTAAGACCTGTTTATAATTATTATAATCAATGATAATATGATATTGTGTGATACGACTAGAGAATGACCTTCAATATACTGCCTTTTTGCTTAGCATGTGTTTGGTACTGCTTTTTTGCTTAGTATCATTCATATATATTTTGTATATCCTTATATGTTTAACCACGTTTATTATACAATCTACTGAATTTGCGGTATTTTTGCTAAGGAAACGAAAAATTCGCCTTAAAATAACTAATACTCTTATATAATAAACTCATTTTTCAAATTTTGTCGCTTATGCCTTTAGGCTTAGGAGTTAAATAAACTCTATAGGTGTATTAAACTAGCATTAGTTAGCTTAGTGTAAAATCCTTACAATATAACATTTTCACATTATTATGCTATATTTTTTTATTATTCAAGCCCCTGACTGATTTTAAAAGCAGCCCGATGTCCGCTTGTTTCTGTTTAACCATTGTTATATTTTAATGGTGTAATAAGCATGCTTATTTTTATAGTATTTTAAGAAAATATATTACATTGTGAACTAAGAAATTATTGTCACAATGATAAATTGATAATTAATATAGTTCAATAGTTGTAATATATTTATTAAACCTATTCGAAATATTTTTTTTCATTTGCCTCCCACCTACTACATTTACAGTCCTGTAAAGAATACTTTTGAAAAGTACTTGAGTAAGTACTCAAATACATTTTTTTTTAAGTATTTAAGATACTACTCAAATACTTTAATTGTATAGTATTTCAAATACTACTCAAATACTTTGAAAAAGTATTTGGAACACTTTTCAAATACTTTTGGTTTTTAAAGTGGGTTTTTAATTATTGTAATATAGACACATAGGTAGTAAATTTATAATCATTTTTATTTATTATTTATTAAATAAATGTTTATTACATTTTTTTTTATTTTTACATGAAATTTACAATCTGTTCTTAACTAGAACAATAAGCAAATGTGCATAGGGTAGTTGCGTATGATTTTTTTTGAGGGAAGAAACCACCCATTGGTGATACTACCTATTTTGTGTTCTTAATTTATTCTAAAATTTCTAAAATTATTTGAATAAAAATAAAATGTTCGAAATAAAAAACCAAAGTATTCAATACCAAAAAGTATTTAATACAAAAAAAAGTATTTAAAATACCATTCAAAATACTTCATGCTGAAAGTATTTAAAAAGTTATTCAATACTTAAAAAAGTATTTGAATACTTTTACTCAAATACTTTTACTCAAATAATTTACAGGACTGTACATTTATCATGGTTCTTGATAAAATAAAATTAAGTGTTTCCCTGAAGGAATTTTTTTTGGAAGTGTAATCGATAATTTCGTTTTTCTGTTTGATTAACACTTGAATACGTGATGATAATTATTGTTTAGGCATGTAGCGAGAATTAAATAAAGAAATAAAAAATTATTGTTTGACTATATAAATTATAAAATTAAAACATTAAAATATTAACTGGGTATTCAATATTTCAGTCCGTTCAGCGTATGTGTATTGCCATTGCGTATATAATCAATAATGTATATGCCATTATAGATTATAATTTATAGGTACTGTATTAATAATGTTTTAATAATTTAAATAGATGCCTAATACTTAAGGGTATTTTAGTATTTATGTTTCACATTTAACAGAAGCCAGTATAAGTTTCTACCTACTATCTACAAATAAAACGAAATAGAAATCAGAATGAAACATTTTATTTTTTTATGTAAAAAAGGTATATTCTGACCTAATCCTATCGAGTATCGACTATCGACTATCAAATTATCATCATTATAATATTTTGTTGAACGTCTTATTGTCGTATACCTACATTTCGAATCCAGACAATGTACCAAATCAATAAAGAGACAAAGAGTTATTAATTATTGACATGACGGGTTCGGGTATTCTTGATTCCTGAATAATCCTGACAATATTATTGTGTAATTATGTATAGTATAAAATGTATAATAGGTAGGTCGGAGGTGTGTCATCGTTGTTATCCGGTTATAGAGTGGCGGAAATAGGACCCAAACATATCGTTTAATTTTTAGTCCGCAGAACTAAGTACTACGATTGTATTATTCGACTTCCGGGTTCTGGCACGCCAAACTCTCGGATTCCTACAATGGGCGAAGAGATTCAATCTAATTTTAGGTAGGGGGCTAAATTTGTTTTAATTAAGCTTAGGTAGGTACATCAATTAAACGAGAAATAATGAAATATTTTAGTATTATAAACAACAATGATTTTAATAATCTCTTTACCATACTTTTCAAGCCCATGCTTTATTGTGCTAAAAATATGCCTAATTAAGAGCCAAGCTGCAGGTCGTAAACTCCCAACAGTCCTAACTCGTAGTCATAAATCATAAATTTCAGTCCAACAAGGTTTAATTCAAATATAATAGGTATTTCTATTACAGCAAAAGGAAAAACTGTATTTGACTTTTAATTTGTATTGAATACCTAGGAGAAAAGGGGCTGCCTAGGTTTCATTAATCGTTTAAAAATTATTTATTACAATTATTCTAGTAGGTAGGTATTTAATATGCAATTTTTTTTAGGGTTATGGGAATTATTTTGAGAAGCTCTTCATCTAAATCTGTGTCCCAAACTTCCAACTACGGTCAAACACTCTATTTTCTACGGTCCATGATACGTTAATAATGAATAATAACTGCAGCATAATGCATATTGTCAATAATGCCATGGCCATAGGTAGGTAGTATACAAAATATTAAAATAACAATATTAACAATAGGACAACTACTACGGTCAAGTGTTAACGACAATGTCGACAATTATATAATTCAATATTCGTAATTGGACAGTAATGTAGTGTACTATACTACTATACTTTATACTATAGTAGTATAGTATTGTTGAGTGGACCGTGTACGGTAGAATATGATAGAATGTAACTTCTATAAATATAATTAAATATTTTATTACTATAAAAAATATATATAACCTCTCGGGAACGGCGATTGTTATCGTACCAAAAAAATTAAAATATGACTGTTGGGCAGTGTTGGCTGATGCAGGACGTGGAGTGATAACTGATAACGGTGTTGTTTTGGTTGGTGGTGGAGAGGAGATGATCTGTATCGAACCCATATTGGCTCATTAGTCATTAGTCGAGCAGCAGCAGCAGATTCATATTACACCTATTACACTATAGCAATTTGGTTGCTACATTGATAGGTGGAGTGTGGACGTGCTGCAACTATACGGCCGTCATCACTCGTCGTCAATAACGAGGCCGACTATCGTCTGTTCCTCCTACAACTACTGATTTTTTATTAATCGTAACAATTTTTTTCAAAAAATAATCAAATCCCGCTCCCCTCCGCACAAGCGTCCGACGCTGATCATACTATTATGCTCGAAATCTAATGCGTCCAGCATCAAAACGCAATAATAATCATTATTGTTGTTGTTGTTGTTATTATGTGAAAGTGCATGTCCACTAGAAATTGTTTTAACCATGACGAACTCGACTTTGCTACTACCCCAGTACCACAAGTATCTCAATGGCGCACCAGTGCCGTTCAGCAGGCGCACCCGGAGGAACAGCGAACTGTGTCTGGTCGTGCTGGTATTCATCTCCCTGACGGTCATCTGCTTTGGAGCTGTGTTCTATTTACCTGAGTTCAAGGCGACCTACGGTGGTACCATCAACAATGTCTACAAGCACATACAGAACGCAGGGCCCGAACTGTTGTTGCCAGCCCACGGAAACTCAAGGCACGATGGAGTGCTGGAGGATCCGCACGCCGCTTGGGACAAGCAAATACTGTCCGCCAAAATCGATGAGGACTATTCGGACAAACGCAAAGTATTAGAAAGACCAGATACAGGCAATGCTATCAAACGACATATTATCAATAACAGTAGTTTCAATCCTGAAGCCGAATCAATCGTTGAACAAGTCCAAACCAGTCAAACTTATGAAAATTCTGAGTTGAGACAAAGGCGAAACAAAGTTAAAGAAGTGAGTAAAAATGCTTAGCTTTTATAAACACCTTTTATTAAGTGCTTAATTAAAATAAATACATGCATCTAGCTAGGTAGGTGTTATATTATAAAAAACAAATTGTCAAAATTTACATTTTGGCTAGATATGTGTTTGAGGTGGGTACAACTGCCTAGCTTAATTGGAGAATAAAGATGTAGCGTATATAATAAAGAGGAGTATTGTGATTTAACTCGTTTATTTATTGATATAATCATTGAGTGTATGCAGGGGCGGACTGGGCCGGCGGGATACCGGGAACTTTCCCGGTGGGCCGCTACTCAAAAATAATTAGTTACCTAGGTATTATTATTTATTTATAACAAAATCAGTAGGTATAAATATAAATTATAAATATTTTGTATTTTCATATCATAACTGTTGAGTGTGCAAAATGTTTATATTATATTTGGTGTTAAAGATTTTAGATTTCGGTTCAGCTGGTTGACCAGCCCCTCGGCATCAATGCATAAGCAGAAATTATTATTTATAACTACTAGGGTGTGAATTTGAAGAAAAATTGCATTTTTTTCTGGATTCTCTTAAACATTGCTTTCCAATCAAAAAATGTATTTCATACATAAAATAATTTAAAAATTAAATTTTTATTTAGCATTTTTTTAACTTTACTGATTTATAGAACATTTTTTTGACGTTTTTATGAAATTTTTATCGTTTGAAGGAATTTTTCGTAAATTTTATAAGTATATATACAAATATACAATTTTATAAACACTATTAGCTTAAGTTCCTTCAAGAAATTTAATATAATTAAAAATCATTTTTTCTTACTAATATTTCTATTTTATTACGTTTTATTTTATTTTGTTTGCTCCTATGACTTCAGTTATACAAAACAACACTTGCCAATTCTAACTGTCAAAGTTTTTTATTCAAAAATATTGATTAGCTTCTGATTGAAAAGTGATTATAATGAAACACAATATATGACGACTAACGACTAATGACTATACCTATTTAAGTTCTATTTTATTTTCATTTAAATTGGCTTTTCATTTTTCTGGGCATTTTACTAAGCTTTGTAATATTGTTACTGTGCATAAAATCGTATTTTTAAGGCATTGTTTTTTTTATTGTATTTATATCCATGCCCTATTTTTAACTTAATATGACTTTATTCTACAGTCGATTAATATATCCACTTCTAGCCAGCCAGTATTTACTAATTATAACTAACATTAAATTGTACACAATAAAAAATATAATATAAATATATTGTACCTACATAATAGTAAAATATAAAAGATAATTTGTGATAATTTGATGGGAATTAATAAGCTGATAACTTAAGGTACAGTTTCCTACGTTCAATGTAACGTCCTTAATTCAAAAAAGTGAATTCTTGAACTTCTTTTTTATTTTATTGTAGTGTACTAGTGTATCGTTTGATGATTTTGTAATATTTACTTATCTATTTGTTGTTTAAAATGGAAACTAAAAGAAAGAGTGGGGTTGAAAAAATCAGAGAGAGAGAGAAGGATACTCTTAGAAAAATCAAGTTAAAGTAGTTTAAACGAACCTATTTTTTTCATCCGTTAAGGATCACTTATAGAGTAGGTAATAGAAAAAGTGATATATACATAATACTGTGCAGTACATTTAATCAAGATAAAATACTAAATAGGTACATTGAGAATCTTAAGTTGTCTCCTGAGGAAATTAAAAATGAGTAGGTGGAGGATGCAACCATTATTTGTCATAACTTTGGTACCATATTTAAGTCTTACATTTAGTGATGACGACATTTTAAGGGCCGGTCAAAATATAAATTTCCCGGGCCGAATAGTTGCCCCAGTCCGTCCCTGAGTGTATGGAATGCATTGCTATACCATTGCTCACTTAATTATTTGGTAAACGATAAAAGTATTTACTAATTACTAATTTCTAATTTATTTAGTAAAAAGTTACCAAAAAGTTTTTAGCTGAACTCTTAGGGTCATATTAATGCCAATGCTTAAGAATAAGTATAGGTAACCCAATCATAAAACCCAACAAACAAAAAAATGAACCAACTTTAAACTGCATTTAACTATGTGTATTGGATATAAAATATTATGCCATTATAATTTATACCTAAACTATTATCATTTTATCATAAACTTCTGATATACAGAAAATCAATTACACAATTTGAATCGCATTAAAAAGTATTAAGTTGTATTATATTAGGTATTATAAGGTAATATTTATATAATATTTTAGAAGTGTAAATAATTACTATAACTATGTAATTAACTTAAATGTGTATTTTAAATAAGGTATTTTTAAAAAAATATACCTACTTATAAGCACTTTCCATAATTTTTTGAAATCAAGTTGGGGGCCCAGTGGCGGATCCATGGCTTCATTTTGGGAGGGGCACGGGGGGGGGGGGTAAAAGTACAAAGAGTTCCAAAATTGGCTAAACCCAGTGTAAACAAAGGAAAACTATGGCGATTGGGGGGGGGGAAATGCCCCCTTGGCTTTCGCTTGGATCTGCCACTGTGGGGTGCTTCTGTATAAATGTATCCGGGGCTCTTTAAGTACCAGGCTGAAACTGATAAGGAACTGCCCTAGTAAAAAAGTGTCGGGAAACGGCATTCATTTGCAAATTATTAAAACCAATTCAAACCCAACCTGGTCGGGTTTCTTAAACCCTAATTATTTTAGACAAAAGTTGGTAAAATGACAATAATAAAGTGTAATTATTATACTTAACAAAGCTTATTGCACTTAAAAGTGTATTTTTATATTTAATAATGTGTTTTATTTTTTTATTCAACTTATAATTGCGTACTTACTCTTATTTGTTTTTTATTTAGATGATGAAACATGGCTGGGATAATTATGTTAAATATGCATGGGGTAAAAATGAATTGAAGCCTGTGTCAAAACGAGATCATTCTGGAAGCGTATTTGGATCAGCAAATATGGGTGCAACTATTGTCGATTCATTGGATACATTATTAATTATGGGTTTACACGATGAGTATAAACTTGGAAGAGATTGGGTGGCTAATAATTTTACTTTAGAAAATGTGGTAAGTTTGTGGTAATATTAGTTACTTTTTATTTTTGTTTTATTTAATGAATTGACTAATGCATAGTTAATAGTTATTATTTTTATATAAACCCTCTATACTTTTTATATTATATAGATAATCACAGTGGTGGTTTTAGGAGTGGTGGGGGTGGAGGTGTTTGGGAGCTGAAGCAGCACCCATGTCATATGAACTTTTTTTTTTTATTATAAATTACTTAGATTTTAGGTTTTACTTAGAGCTAAACTTATTAATCGTAAACTTCAATAATATACTTTTAATATAGGTAATAACAATAAATAATGTCTTTACTTTTTTGAGTTTAGGGGATTAGAATTACGAGTACTAATGCGAAAAACCTTAGTAAAATTAGGTACATGTGAGAAAACAATATTTTTTAGAAGTTAGGCCTTATTAGGCGTCTTTGACTGTTTTTCATTTTTACTAGCAGTCTAGAAATGTTCACATAGGTCCCTTATTATCAAGTTGTGTCACTGTTTATCTAACATTTATGTATTTATAGAAATAACAAAATGCCACACGAAATTGACTCAAGAGCAGTAGACAACTCTCTAGTCTTGTTGTGGCCACCCATAATATAGCATATTATAGTACAATACTGCAGTATAATATTATCATTCGATGTTTAAAACTAAGTTTATCAAGAGTTAATGCTCATAATTTGTCTTGGCTTTGTGGTACCCTACAAATTCAAAATATTTAAAATAATTAATGACATTAGTTCATTTGAACAACACCTGCAAATTATATTCATATAAAAATGTTGTTAAAATGCAGACAACAGTTATAATATAACCAAGTACATAACACTCAATTTTATTATTTGAGCATAAAATGGAGCTATAAAATATTTATTTAGTAGCTTAGTATGCGCATAAAAATATTTTCCTCTTCCACTCATATCTGTGTATATAACAATTTATATGATACTATTTTTTTTACAGAAAATAGATATATCAGTTTTTGAAACAAATATTCGTTTTATTGGCGGTTTTCTCACGTGTTATGCTATGACTGGTGATACTGTTTTCCGTGATAAAGCTGACTATATTGCAAAAAAATTATTACCCGCATTTCAAACACCAACTGGAATACCATATTCATTAGTCAATTTAAAAACAGGGGTAAGTATTATTTTTAAGTTGGTTTGATGTCTATGACTAGTTTGCGGGGCTTGAATAATGAGTTCTGAGGGGTGTATGCAAATTTTAATTCAATACTGTTTGGCCCATATTATATTTAACTCTTTCTTATTAATTTTTTATCACTTTATTCTGTTATCATAATTATAACATAATTGCAATTTTTTATTACACATTAAAACATTTGCAGAAATTGTATGTTGAGTACTTTTCTACATTCTTACCACAGAACAATATAGTATTGTATTATAAATTATAATTAAATAATTTATAACCCATAGTAAATTGTTGTAAAAAAAAACAAAAACCATTCTGAATGGGGAAGATACATGAGTAAATGTTTGTAAAATATAAAATTCAAATTTCAGCATAACCTAGTTTTAACATAATTCACATTTTATTTAAATTATTGGCATTCAAAAAAGAACATTGTTGGTCATGATTTTTAATAGTTAAGTTAAAAATTTACAATATAGTTTTTAGATCTCATTTATCCAAGGCCATACTCAGATCAAATTATTTTCTGGGGGGGGGGGGAGATTATATGATACATATTTAGAGTATTTTGGGTAGTAATAATAAAGATTGAAATTTTCTTTTCTAAAGAATTTTTTACAATCTATAAAAACAATAAGTAAGTTTGATAACTAAAATTATTCATAGCAAAGAATTTACATGTATGGGCACTCAGAGTGAGGCAAGAATGAAACATTAAAAATTATAAAATACTATATCTTTTTATCTACAATTCAATAACCTATTATTACTAATATGAGTTGGGTATTAGAATGATTTGTATAATGTTATGATTTATTGTAGATATATTATAATTAATAATTATATTCAAATAGAGGACACAATTATTTTTAAATCGTTATTAATAAAAAAAAAAAGTATAAAATATATATTGTAGAAAGAGACTTGAACAAATTATTGTTTTCATTTAATAGGGCTTAATAATTTTATTTTTTGGTAGGTTAAAGTACAATAACTTCTGAGCCTTGGCATACCTAGTCATTATTAACTTACTGGTTTATTATTTAAACTATAGAATTATTTTTACTATTACACAATAATATAGTTTTCTTGGTTTTGTTTTTTTAGAACAGCAAGAATTATTTATGGGCAAGTGGTGGTAGTAGTATACTATCAGAATTTGGTACTCTACATTTGGAATTTGTATACTTGTCTGATATCACTGGCAATGACATTTATAGACAAAAAGTTGATCATATTAGACAGTTTGTAAGAAGTCTTGATCGACCTAATGGATTATATCCGAATTTCTTAAATCCTATTACTGGAAAATGGGGACAACGTAAGTATTTTTGTATTATTTTAAAATTGTTTCTGGTTATTAAAATTTAAAATTCTATGAAATGAAATACAATTTAGCTTTATAAGAAAAAAGTCTACCAATGTATACTTAAATATTCTAATATAATTATTTATTTATAATTCATATTATTATAAGAATATATAATTATGCATATAAAAAATTATGTATTGGCAGATAAGTTATAATCTTCACCTAAATTTTCAAAAAAATTATCTGCCTAATTATTTTAACTAAAGTAGGGTGATTCTCTTTTGAAAACAAAGTTTATATCAGCACAGAGTTCACATTAGATGGTATAAAAAATATAAATTACTGAAGATGTGGTACTTTAATAAGTATAATATACAAATTTAATAATCATTATTTGAATAAATTAATTATATAAGGATATTGGTTAAGTTATGTTAGTAAGTCATCATGTATATTTTATATAATACTAAATGTAATTGAGTATAAAAACTTACATTATTTGAATGTATCCTACATAGCTACATTTCTAGACATTTTTACAAATTGTCTAGAAATTGTATTAATCTTAAATAATAAATTATCTGCTTATCTTAAAAAATTTTTAGAAATGTTGGTTTTGTTTTATATTACCTGTTTATCTTTTGTTCTACGTATTTTATTATATTGTCTTCAGTCTAGAAAAAATAATCACCTTGGAAAAATTTAATACTAATATTAAATATCAAACACAGTTGACACTTCAGAGTTTAGATCATAGAAATAATTAGTCTGTAAATAAACTACTAATAAGCAGAATTGAATCAGAAACTGTTACCTGTTAAATAAATACAAGTACACTTCACATCTTTACTATAACTCTTTTATCAGGGATCTCAAATAATTAGTTAAACAATCAATTTTAAGAACTTAAAATTTACTGTTTTTTACATAATATTTGTTATTAGTAAATATTGAAATGTATAAGTTTTAAAAACTATAAAGTATAAATAAAAAAAAGATAGAATTTAACTATTTAACTATTAACATTGCCAATATTTTTCTATTACATATTTATGAATATAAAATAATTATGATAAAATTAAAAAGTTTTGTAACTAACATTTATCATATCTACCTGTACATAATGTGTGATATACATATTTATAATTACATTGTATTATTTTAGGCCATGTATCACTCGGAGGCCTTGGTGATAGTTTTTATGAATATTTGTTGAAAGCGTACATACAATCTAACGGTAAAGATTTAATAGCACGTGACATGTTTGATGATGCCATGGCAAGTGTGATGGATAACCTAGTTCAAACATCTTCTACTGGACTAACATATTTAGCAGACATGCGTTTTGATAGACTTGAACATAAAATGGACCACTTATCATGTTTTGCCGGTAAATAATGTTAAACATATAATAGGATAGTTGGTTTTACCTAACACCTTGTTATTAAACACTCAGTTTTGTGTTGTACACTTCGATTTTATATGTAATATTTGGTAAACATTCTTATGTCTTATTAAGATTTCAAAGAATATTACTGTTTTTCTAGGCTACATCTCTAATAGGTATATTACTAAATGTAATTTTATGAACTATAATGTCTTTAAAACAATAATAGCTTAAACATTTGAGCACTTAATAATACATGGATGATTCTGACTAGAGCTGATAATTAATTGTATTCAATAATTAATACAAATTTGATCTTATGCATACAAAATTTTAGGTGGAATGTTTGCACTTGCTGGTGAAACTCTAGGTAGTGATGCGTCTAAACACTATACTGATCTTGGAGCTAGTTTAACAGAAACGTGTCATGTAGCTTATGATAAAACTGCTACAAAATTGGGGCCTGAAGCTTTTAGATTTACAGATAATTATGATGCAGTTGCAGTCCGTGGCACTGAAAAATACAATATTCTTCGGCCTGAAACTGTTGAGTCATATTTTGTTTTATGGCGATTAACTCATGACAATAAATACCGAGAATGGGGATGGGAGGCCGTGCAAGTAAGAGCCATTTTATTTCTTCAAACCCAACGACTAATAATAGTTAATTATTAGTCTCAGTATTCAACATAGTTTAATACATTTTGTTTTATTGTATTAAGGCTTTTGAAAAACACTGTAGAGTATCGGGTGGATACAGTGGAATTAAAGATGTTTACCAAATAGATTCAAGTAAAGATGATGTACAGCAGAGTTACTTTTTTGCTGAAACTCTCAAAGTATGTAATGTTGATTAGTGATTACTGTTTAGATAAAATAAAAAAATTATAATTGTACTTATATATAAATTATTTTGTTCTAGTATTTATACCTATTATTCAGTGACGATAATCTAATTCCATTAGATAAATGGGTATTCAATTCAGAAGCTCATCCACTTCCTGTAAAAGAACTCAATACTCAATATAGAATGCATCAAAGAGTTGTATAATTGTTGTGAATGTTTGGAATGTCAAGAATTTTGTTTATGAATTTTTAATCTATGTTAAATATTTCAAAAGCTAAATTAGTTTATGAAATTCTTTGACATTTATTAGGTAATTATGTTTTCTTTCTTATTTTTTTATTAAAATCTATAATATGTGTGAATATACTGTAAATAACCTACTGTATATTAGGATACTCAGTTATTACAATTTTACGTTTAACAAATGTCAAATATAGAATATTCTATCTATTAGTTTGTAAATAATCACCATTATTTATGGAATGTAAGATTTGAATAACTTAGTATATTTAATGCATATTATTATATTGGTTTTGTTTTGTTAAATCTAACTATTTGGAAACCACTCTCAATGATTCATCTAATAAATTTTCTGTGATAATAAATTAATTTTTTTTGTCTAGCTATAATTCAAATTTTAAGCAAGATTTTTTGTTATTGTTTGCCAATTTGTTTTCTTTTTTAATAACTCGTAAGTAATTTTTCTTACAAATAAATATTATTTTTAGTATTTGTTATCCATAATTTTCCAATACAAATAATGATTTCATAGATTAATGTATATGTTTGATATTGATATATTTTAAAAATTGACAATTATCGAGATACTTTTTATCATTATGTACATTTTAATATTTACGTATGCTATATGGCATGTATTGGTAAATTTTCAAATAATTAAAATGATTTTAACAGTATTTTAATTTTAGTTGTAGAATTAACAATAGATATTTTATAGATAATAAATTTATCAATAAAGAAAATTTGCGTAAAGACTAGGGTTTGGGGCATTTTGCACTAATATTGTTCTATATATGAAAGCAAATAAAATACAGTTAGAGTAACAAAATAAGATTTTAGTTTTTGAACAACTATGTATGATTAAACAAAATTGAAATATTTATTATTAATAAAAATGAATTTATTATTGATTGTACTTCAAAATACTTAAATTTGTCAAATGTCTTTTTTTTAAATATATTCAAAGTCAATTTTTATTGTACAACATACAGTATAATCAACCAAAAATAATTTACAAATGCATTTAAGCTTGAACCTTAATTATGACCTACTTCTGTTAAATATTTCTTTTGGCTATCGAATGATTGAGAATGTTACCTTTTTGGCTGAACGTTTGAGAACACTTAAAAATAACAAAGAGCTTACAGCTGACACAAAAAGAATACAATTGAGAATTAATTTACGTGCAACGTTGCCATATCATTTATTTGGTTATTGAAAAATTCATAGCCGTATGCATAAAATAAATATTCTTGAAAAAAGTCATCAATTAATAATTGTTAAAACAATTAAAATATTCATACTAAGGATAATAATCCTTAAATATGGTTTTACAAAAATATAAACTAGGTATATGTAATATTAGATGTAGGTAATATTAGTTATACTTCAATCATTTTTACAAATTATTTATATTGATAGATCATTAATAATTACTAACATTTTTAGATCATCTAAGACCCCAAATCTACTTAACCTATTGGCCTATGCCCTATGGCAATGGCCTTAGTACCATGACTCTAACTATCGTAGCTATTTTCTATATTGTTTCTTCTTGAGTTTCAGTTAGAATGTTAATTACAATTAATGTAATATATTGCTAATTCAATATCAACAAATTATTGGGCTCATATTATCATTCGATTCAATTTGGCAACGTTGGAAAAAAAAAATATCAAGCATTCTCAATCGTGTTACCAAAAATCCCATTCTCAATCGTATTTTGCCGTTACTTTTAGATATATAATAATAATTATATATATATATGTGTATTTTTTAATACAATTGTATTAACTTTTAAAACGGTGATCTGATTTAATTTACTCTCTCGCAATAAACGAGATTCTATATCTTATAAATATTTTGGTATTTTTAGGTTTATGTTAGTGGTGGTTTTGATTACTAAATTCAAATGATAAATTATTGTTTTTATGGTTTTGCAGTAGTAAAATAAAATTTCCTGCACTTTATTTGTAAGTAAAAAGTTTTCTATAATATTTATAATACACAGTCAAACAGACATAATGTCTTATGTAATTTATGTATGTACCAAAATTAATGTATATAATACCCTAAAATACAATTATGTTACACAATAGTTAATAACATAAGGAGAATTCCTATCTGTTAGTTTTACAATTCTTTAAACAATTTGTATTTTAACCAATATACTGCCTAATTAATATGTTATAATTGCGTTTATATTTTTTTAAATGGTAAAAAATAATTATATTTTAATTTACAATTTGCAACCAGTATTTCATGTTATTCACATTTGCATAAAAAATGTTTATTTTTACACAAATGATGACAATTAATTAAATTGTTTTATTGATCTATGCTGCAACTTATCAAATAGTGTTTTTAAACTGTAACATGGCAGTTTTTATTGTGTATTATTAATTGCATTAAAATGTTCATTTGGCTTATTATACAGTATTTATGTTAAAAATGTTCACTATGTATACTACTTTTTTTTTTTAGTGTTCAACACTTCATATCGTTTATATCTCAGTAAGGTCATTTATTATTTTCATAAAACTCAAAGATATACCATTATTTTTACCACTTTTAACTTGTATAGTTTTGTTAACTATGTAATATATATAGACATAGAATAGTATAAAATATAATATTATACAGGATGATTTGTTTCGTTTGATAAGATTTTATGTGGTAGAGTTATTAAGTTTTCCTACCACAGAAAGTCAAATACACGTAAAAATAAATCATGCTTTATAGTTTATAGCAGTGGCGAAGCTTTATAAGAAACAATGAGTGTAAGGGGAATTGGAAATCTGGTGGAGGTTATAACTACGCTATGAGACATTTCTCGCCTTTAGTATTTTAGTTTTAAGCTACCGTTATTAACTCAGTTATCGATGTTGTGTGATTGAACTCTTTATCATAGTTGGTTTATTTCTGGTGTGATATGTCTACATATGAGTATCAATAATATTGCCATTATGCCCGATTTATTTTTTATTTTTTTCAATATCTCCCCAAGTTTTTACTCACACCTCGCCACTGGTTTATAGTATACTATATAATTATACAATTTTTGCTTTAAGTTCTTAATGAATCAAATGTGTACTTGTATGTTATATATTAATTATTTACTTTGTAAAAACCAAAAACACGTTTGTTAAATTAGACCATAAATAATTTAACATCAAAATATTTATTTTTTCTAGTTAATTGTACTAACTACCATATTATATTACTAATACTATTTAACTACTTTTTGTATAGTATAAGAAATATACATTTTCAAATAACATAATATAATTTATTTATTGTTCCATCCTTTAAAAATGGATTTTTATATAAATTGATTTATTTAACTACTTAATTAATAGATTGTTACAATTATGTCCAAAACAAATAGTACACCATACGCATTTATTTCTAATTGTAATTTATTTGTACAAACCTGTGTATGTAAATATAAAAATATAGTTAATGCCAATGATTCACTTTTACAGTGACATAATTGATCATATTATCATAATCACTTGTTAAGTAACTATTATTAATTATAAATAATATTATGATGTGTTATTATGCTTTTAGTTGAGTTTAGATAGAATAAATTAATTTAAAAGCGTGTTAAAGTGTATTTGTAAGGTAACAAAATAATGAAAAAAAAATATATAGTTGTTTTCTGCATTTTAATAAACTGTATTATATATTAAAAGTACCTAAACCTCATGTCCTCATATTATATATATACTTAAATGTTTGACGATTATCAAACTATATTATTTGTTCTGTGCTACTTTCCTTGTAGATTTGGTGAGAAATTTAAATAAGCAATAGAAAAATAAGAATACTAATTCATATGATATTTTTATATTGGTTTTATTCGGTGGTTTAAAAATAATAATATAAAAATAAATAAATGTTTTGTACTATAATAAAAAAAAAAGCTTAAAATGTTACATAAATATAATATTTACATTTGGTACAATGTTAGCTATTAATTATTACATTCTAAACATTTATGTTCTTTCATATCAAAAATTAAATTGGTAAACATTATGTACATACAGGAAAGCCTAATAACTAGTTTAATTAATTTTACAATCCTGGCATTATATACGCTATATCGTCCATGAGTCTTGACATTGTTTCTTGGGAGTTCACATTAATTTCTGTCACTTGTTGAGTAAGACAAAGTAGAGGTCCCAAGGCACATAACAGAGAATCTAGAAGAACCGATACACTTCCATTTACAGCTATCTGGCCCTGAACATACAACATAAACATGGTTGACAAAAAGAGAGAAAAACAATTTTAAAGGTAGTGTTGACAAAAAGAGAAAAACAATTTTAAAGGTAGTATAGTACAAATCAGCTCACCTGATGTTCTTTCAGTCTTTGACCAATTATGCCCAACGATTCGCCTAGCAAAGCCAAATGAGCTGCCACATCAATAGGCTGTGTTGATCTTAACGGTTCTAATTTGGGTTTATTTCTGCATATTTCAAGCAATACAATTAATGGACAATGGACAGTTAGATGGTTTATAGTCCGGCTCACAAAAAGTGAACGCTGAAGGTAGACTGGTGGAGTTCAAATAATTATTGTCGGAACCAGGGGTTCACAGATTTGTAGTATTGTTCGTCCGTGCAGCTAATGGCTAAGGTTAGGTTACAATTTTGAAAATCACGCCAATATGTTTGATAATCAGTTATTAAAAACAGCCACGGGGTCTCTGAAGTCAACGTTCACTTTGAGCCTGATTAGTGGTTAGTCTAATATATTATGTCAAATAGTATTTACTTATTGCTAGTATCTATTGAATTATCAATAATTTCTGCGCTTGGTTTTTTTACTGTAATTTTTGTGTCATTTGTACTATTGTCAACCAATCCTTCACGTTCTAATAATCTCTTGGCTTTGCGTACCCATCGCTACAAAATTAAAAATACATTTTTGGATGTCATAAATTCACTAAATGGAAGTTCAGTGATGCCAAAGATTTAGAAAATGTGGTCTGGCAATTTCAAAACTTTGTGGCCTCTATATCTTAATTATTTATTATTAGAAGTACCCTCAAATATACATTTACTCATAAAAAAGTTATGATGTAAATAAAATGTGGCCTATAGGCCATGGCCCGACCTTAACATGGACTTTGGTGCAACCTGAATGGGACTTACACTTTTATCTTCAGTTGGTACAGATTTCCACATGTCTCTGAGCTGTTGATTAATTTGTGATGTACCTTGATTAATTGTTTCATAATTAAAAATCAAGTAACAGAAAATAAAAGATAATAGAAACTTACTAAAGTTTGGATAAGCATTCATCAAAGTCTTGCGCACTTCTTTAGCCCACAATGCATATGCCACAAACCCTGGTTCTTTCATGTTTAAATTTTTGAGAGCATACATAAACTGAAAATGTGTAAAAAAATGTGTTATATACTATGTTCTGTAAAAAAAGGAAACAAAAATTTACTTGATTGTGTTCTCCTACTGAAACAGAAGTGCCGCTGGGTTCAGTGTCATCTATAACAATTTAAATAACAATTATAATATATGCTTTAGCCCCGCAGATTTAAATTTTTAATAAGGCATTCAAAAAAAATGTGGAGAACTTTTGATTAATGTTCAATGTCTTATTATGTGTGTACACAATTTGGATCTCTGTACTTTGACTTATAATAGTATGTTAAGTTATATTATACCCAACCTCCGCCAATAGTAAAAATGAACGACAGTCCAAAAGACATAAGAATTAACAGAGCAAACAGGCACAATACCTGTTGAGGCAGTAAAAACTTGTAATAGCAAAAACTATTATAGCAAACTTCAAACAGCTTATTTCTATAATGACTGTTAATGACATTAATTTAGTGGCTTGGCGAAGAGGGTAATTGAGAGGCTGCTACTACTGAGTTTAGTAAGAGGTGAATGGGAAATGTCCAATGGGACAATTTAGGATAAGCTAGAATTTTATTATTTACTATACCAGGAAGTTAAAAATATGACGGTAAATGGCTTTATTGGGTTTAGGTGTGTAATATTAGACTAGCCTCTGAAAAATTTTAAGTTCGCCAAGCCACTGCATCACTTAAATGTAAAATTGTGTGAAGGTTTTTTTTTTTTTTTGTGGCACCAACGTCTGGGGATTGAACTGCTTGCACATTGCTTAACCAACATGCAGACACTGCTTGGCCACCATACATTATTCCTACTGTATGTAATTATTGTAACTTATTCACCACAATCTTTCGTGTCTAAGGTCCACTCGCCGCTTTCGGTGTGTTGTTGGTCTTCTAAAAATTCCATACTGTTATCGTCTTCATTAAACTGAGAAAAATAAGAAGTGTTACATCATTATCGACAGATATTACTTATTAACGTTTAAGGGGACGTCGTACCCACATGTGTTGTCTTTGTCTTATTAACACATTTTATATCAATATGTTTATATAGCAGTTCCAATTTTGTGTTGTTAGCTTCAATATTATAGTGAATTGACTGAAATATAGGAACATCATCGTTTTTACGATGTTTTAATTTTTAAGTCAGTTATGTAAAGTAAAACATTAATATTTGAAAATGCTCATAATTCACTTAAAAACTAAAATATCGTAAAAACCAATAAGAGAACCCAGATAATGTTCTTACATTTAAGTTTGATAATAGGTCAATTGACTCTAATATTTAAAGTAACAATACAAATTTTGAACTGCATCCCAGGACATGATGACCAATGTTGGGCCCTTAAACTCTTGTTATAATATAAAGTATAATATATAATATAAAGCCTTTCCTAATTGCAGTAGGCTTAAAAAAAAATGTAAGGGACCTTAATTTATTTTGCACTTGGGACCAGTTGGCCTTCGCTTGGTACATTTACATCATTATAATACTCTAAGATTTGTTAATTTTTTATACTGACTTTTTCAAGTGGCTCGTGGTTGACCGATTGTCTTTTCGAACTTTGTTTTGACGACTTGGGTGTTTTTTCTTTTTCTTCTGCTGGAAAATAGTTAGCAGTTTGTGAAATACACGTACAAAGCATATATTTTTAATTATTCAACAATTTTTTACGTACGCAAGTCCGACGATTCAAAACCAATCAGCTTGGAAGACTTCTTTATAATTCGTCCAGATCTCGAAACTGCAGTCACTTCCGGTTCGTCTTTAACATTAAAAAGACGGAATGTAAGAATAATAATATATAACAATTGTATAGTGTATTACTGCATGATTTGGTATCAATTGACAATTATAAACTCGAGGAGTTTACTATTAATCCAAATCAGTGGATCTGTTTTTTTGAAAAATCTAAATGAGGCGTTTCTAGCATAATATCGTTCTATGATAATATAGAAGCATAATATTTGGTTATTACTTATTAATAATAGTAATTTTTATTTACAGACTTACAGTTATTAGCTTGTTTAGTTGTATTGCTTGTAGTAAGTTGCAAGTATACTGTTAAAATGTAAAGTATTAAGTATTAAGTAATGACAGAACGAACAATTATCATTATAATTATTAATTTTGTAAATAACACAATTATTATGGTCTATTCTTGGAATCCATACAATATTATTCTGTATTTGAGTGGTCGCCCCCGCCCGTCCTCTCACACTATTAAAGAGATAAGAACCGTTTAAAATGATAACAAAAAATAACAACTGCCAATCCATAGGGTATATTTAGCACGGTTTAGTAATCTCCAAGTTCCAACAATCCGACTGGACCGACTGTACTTCTGTAAATTCTAGTATAATATAGTGATGTCACAATTTAAGATATATTATTTAAGTATAATATCTTAAATCGTGAGACGAGAGTGATCGAAATATGATTGAATCTACTATTTTATTACAATTGTATTAAATTTAGTGGATGAAAAAAAAAATTAATATTTTAAAATTTTAATTGCAAAAAAAGTACCAAGAAAGCAGTTATTTTTCTCTTCGTGACTACGTCTGTCGTCTATATCTATAGTGAGTATTATAACTTATATTTGTCTTATAACATGACAAAATCTATTTTTTTTTTAAGCTGTTATGAATTCAAAATATTTGTATCCTTATTGAAACATTTTTTTTTATTATTATTAAAGCTGTTATATTTTTAGCAGTATAGCTTTATAGGTAAGTAGCAACTAGCATGTAACTAATTTCCATTAAAAAAAAATATGAATATCGCTTAAAAGTAGTTAATTTTTGCTACCCGACGGACGGTCATATAAAAAAGTAGATATTTATTTTATTTATTTATATATATACGCCGATCGGCAATTTTATGATTACATTTAAAATTAATATATTAATATGTAATTAATGTTTATAACACACAGTAACACCAAACATAATATAATAATAAAACATAATACAATTTAATATAAACATAATATAGTAACATAGTGTATAGTATAGTACAGAAAATTTATAACTAATACATTTTTAAAAATCAAAATTAGAATTATTTAGCTTACGTAGTATTCTATGTAAGGGATGATTGTGTCCATAGGATGTGTTGTGGGTTGGTATTTGAAAGAGGGAGTGATTTCTGGAGAAGAAGGAAGTGATTCGAAGACTTACGTTGGAGAGGATATCAGGAGCATTTATAGTGCCACCTAGGAGCGAGGTTATGAAGTGCTCATCAGCATCTTGTCGGCGTGATGATAGCAGTGGTATTTCCAATATACTACGTAATAACTAATAAGGAATAATCATGAGGAGGGTGTACTATCTTCAAAATTTGGGCAATGTATAAAAGAAACCTGTTTTGGACACGCTCGAGTCTTAATTCATCTTTGGCCAAGTAAGAATGCCATACTACCGCTCCATATTCCAATATTGAACGTACTAACGAGAAATATAATGTGCAGAGACAGCGAGCAGTCAAAAACTGTTTGGTATTGCGCTTAATACATCATATTACATTATAGACAGTTACATTTTTCTGTTATAGAAATAGTATTCTCTTTCTCTCTCTGTAATATTCAATCTAATTTTATTATTGGTTTGCAGCAACTTCTGTGTTTCTCTATCACTAGCCTTCCTCTTCAATTCTAGATATGAGTTACATCCTTGATATTCTATTATCTGAAGAAATAGTATATGTTTGATTATTTTATAAAACATTCAACATTTATGTTTTATGTACTCATTTTTTAAATTACAAAAACGTTTAAAACATTATGGGAAGGACTGATACTAGAATTGTATTTGCTTATTTAAGTATTAGCTTTATTTAAAAAAATGTACATCCCTCCCGGTAAAATTAGACCTAAATTTCTGCCTATCACAAAATCACAGCTATAAAAATATTTTGTCATGGCTAGTAACTACTATTATTATTGAAATTATTAAACTCTTGTAATAACATTTTTTTTTCTTTAGTATTGTCCATTTGTCCTATTATTTTTAAAATGCAATTCTTAATTTTTCTATACAATTTGTACACTCATGATGGAAAGCTTAGTATTGTAATTTTTAATATAATTAAATTAACATACAACAAAACATTTTTAATTTAGGTATATTTTTTTATTTACAAATCAAATAATCACTATTTAAGAAAAAATTGTGTCATCTTGAGCCCATCCATCATTTAATGATAGAAATCGTCTCTTGGATGCAGTGTTCATGAAAGGTCTTAGCATCCATTCTGTGTCCGCCGTGTCAGCTGATTCTAAGGTTCCCAATTTTATTTGGTAGAGTTTCAATTGAAAACGTGGACCAACTTCACTCATTTCAATTTTGTTGCCATCCACCTAAAATTATTATCGTTAAATAACTGAAATAAAAGTATATTAACCAAAATAAATTCTTACCGTTTTGTATGTATGGTGTCTAAATGATATATAGTCGTCATGGTTGGCAAAAGAAATTACTCTCCTGCTGTCTTCTTTAGGAACCGGGTACAGATACTTCAAAATGTTCATTGTTCTCTTACCGAGCTGGGTTTCAAAATTGTGGAAAATCAAATGCGGAAATTGTTCAGACATCGTACCAATGTCAGGCACGTCGTGCCTCATGACCACGTCTGTCAAGTTGAAATAGGCCGTCGGGCCATACGGCATATGACACACGATCAATGTGTCCGGGACACCTCGGTGCTCGTGCACGACAATGAAATCAGTCACTTCGTTCGCCCGGCAGGCCTGGACCAATTGCTTGATCTCATAGTTACCACGATTCATACGCTGTGCATTTGGGAATATCAGCCTGAGCTCCTTGACGAACTTTTTCAGTCTGGCCGACGGGTCATGCGACGTGGTGATCATAATTTTCGGGTCCTCGACTCCAGCCCAACGGTACTCGTCGTCTTCGTGAGAGGTGCCCGCACCGCCTTCCTCGCCACCGCCAATGGCCGACAACCCTGGTGACCCATCGTCCCATTCAAGTTTCTCCTGCAAATGCAGCGCCTCTGCGCGCAGGTCATAATGAATTGGAACGTTTTCATCCAGACAGTGTTTCAACCGTTCCTTTTTGTCTTGGATCACCTTCTGACGGGTCTCCAAACTCTTCCGATACAGATACTCGCGCCGGAGTCGAGCTTGCCGGCGTAACATGACTCTTGGTGGCAAAATCGACGGAACGATATTATTAATTGAAACCGGCGGTGCAGCGGCAACAATCAGTGTTGTTAGTTGTGAGTGTTGTGACTATTTACGAAAATCATTGTGCACATTGCACGTGGTCGTGTTTACAAATGATAACAGATCGTTCGTCCTATCACTAACCAGTCGTCTGTAGCACAGAACAAGTCTGTAGTGGTCTTTCACAGGTTGTCCTCGACGTCCGCTTCACCCGGGGACACACTGTTCGTTCTGTTGTTTTGTTTACATATTATTCATTTTTTCAATTTCCAATATCTACTAATTTTTTTCGTTAACATATTCAGTTATAACCGTCTAAAGTACGTTATTGTCACGTTGTGTGCTCACTAACTCATCATTCTGGTTCATAGGTCACAAAAAAGTAATATGACAGTCTAAACCGTGAGTATTTATCAAACGCGAAAACGACAGCGTTGGAGAAATTAATCCCATTTATACCCTGACGAGATTCTCTTCCAATACGAATATACTTTTATAAATTGTACGTAATTTACTAACTACACTACTTACTTGGATGTTTCTGATCAGATTTTCTGCCCTTTTCCTTGTCCATTGTGTCTTTCACAACTTTATTTTCACTCTGTCAAATATTTATATTCAGTTAATATTTCTATCACTATTCACTGGATTTATTTTCTTTATCAAAATATCAAATGCCCGTGACAAGGTGGATATATATATATCTATATATCCACCTTGGCCCGTGATTAATTTTATCAACTCAGAGAATGATGATAAGAAATTTGATAAAGTGAGATCGAATTGCGCCCATTTTTGAATTTTGCAAGCACAAATTAAATGACGTATTGAAATTAAAAAAAAAATTTTACTTGGGTTACCTACTTACCTATTACAATTATAGGTATTTAAAAATTATCATTATTCATTTATTATAAATAGTTATATTGTCTGTATTTCGTGTGTGTTATAAATAGTAATTACTATAATACTTAACTTTTAACTAAATGTTAATTTTGTCATTGATTAAGCATACATAAAGTATACTTAATCAATGATTATGTTTTCTTAAATTAATGATTACCAATACTTTTTATGTACCATTCAATTCTCTAATTTAATTTGTTTGTATTTAATTTGCCTATCTATTAGATCTGAGTACTTTTGAAATATAAACCTGTAAGATGGCTATTTTCAATATAGAAATGCACAATCGTGTAATTTGCCATTTGGAGAATTCTCATATTATAATATCATCAGAAAACGAATGGTTTAAGCAATGTGTGGATTTCTTCATGTCAGATAATCCAAATGTAATAAACAAAAATATATTAAAATAAGTAAAATGAATAACAGACAGCTCTAATTATTTGAATTTCAGTGTGATGCAAAAGATTTATCCGCAATGGTGGTTGAACAATTAAGTTTATCTGATTTTCAAGAAATTGCATTGTTTAGTTTACCAGCCAATTTAAATAATTGTGAAAAAAAAGTTTTGACTGGAAAATATTGCCTTCAGGTATTTTGTAATGATATTTTATCCCTACTTAAAATTTTTTGAGTGAGTGTATTATATTTTGGACTCTTAACAAAACTACACATATAGGTTATTACAATTTTTTTCTATTTAACTATTGCTATAATTATTTCTCATTGGAAAATACTGTAACATTTCCATGCAGGCATATCTATATTCATTTTAGTTGTTTCAATTTTTTCAGTTTTTTCTGTAAGTATAATAACAACTTATAGTCAGCAAAAAAATATCGAAGAAATCTTAGCAACTTTGAATGGTTTCCATAATTCAATGATTACTTATTGCTTTTATCCCTTTGAATTTATGTGACAGCACCTAACATCAATGATATCCTGCTGCCCCGTATACAGTTTCTTTTTATTTTCATTGCATTAATTGGAAATCTCCAATCAAAAAAAAATTTCTAATAAAATAAATTTAATGCTTCAATGTTGTAGTCAAAGGATGACATTTATAATAATAATAATAAATATTTAAATACCACTCGAGATGAGCCATGAAAGACTTCTTGTCTCCATATCCTACCCAATAATTGTATTCTTAATAATATTGTACAAACATGTTCTTAAAACTATAGGTGAACACCATTCTTGATGTTGGCCAATCGTGTTATTCACAATATAATATATTAGTAAAAAAAGACACTAGTAATACTGAAATTAGTGATAATAAACCAGCCCCCTGGGAACCTAAATCACATAGAATGTTAAAAATGATGTGTTCCGATGGTCAACAGGATATAGTGGCTATGGAATATGAGCCATTACAATGTCTTAAAGAGCCGTTTATACCTGGCTTCAAAGTATGTTTTAATTAAATTTAAATTAGCTGCTCTGAGGATGATAAGGGATTTTAAATTTTTGTTTCAGATTGTGGTTGTTGGACCAGTTGAATATAGAAAAGGAGTGTTACTATTAAAATCTAGTAATGTACACTTCATTGGCGGCGAGGTCGAACATTTATTAATAAAAAATGCACCATTAAATGTTTTATGTAGAGCCCTGTAAGTATTGATTGAAACTAATATATTCTTTATTAATTACATCCAATTTTATAAAATATTTTCTAGAAACAAACCTGAATTAGAAAATCCGTACATGTTTTCAAATATTGAAGTTGAAAATGCTGTTATGGAAGTACCTGAACCACGTGATATTATTCCACCGAGACAAATAGAAAATGTTTCCACAGTTGGTATAAGAGAACAAAACTCATTAATACACCCAACTCGCACAAATCAAAATAATAATAGCAACCGTACTGGAAGTGAAATTATTACAGTAAGTATTCAATATTATATTATGTTCATTCTACTTAATATGAATTTTATTGATTTTGTCTTCATTAAGTATGACGATTTTTTTGATGGAGATGATGATTTGTTATACCTGACTCAAGTGGCAGAAATTGAAACAAGACTCACTCAATCCGATAATGTTACAAACTCGGTACCACCATTACAAACATTTGATACACACCAACATAATACCAAAGTCAATACAACTACAATTTCAGTTCCTAAAAATAATAACATAGCAAATAAGAAGCCAGCAGTTACTGCGAGACAGACTAAAATATCTGATATGTTAGGTCCAAGTACTTCAACAGCATACAAAAGTTCTGTAGCTGAACCAATTAGGTGTCCAAATGATAGGACAATAGAAAACAATAGCATGAATATCAAACAAATATCAGGGAAACGTAACGCTAGTTCACCAGTATACACAGAAACTAAAAGGCCATCAATGGAACTGCACAGATCAGAGGATGATTGGGGTGATATTGATGTTTCAAACCCATTGATTAAAGTCCTAAATTCTGCTTCTATTGTAAAGAACTCAAAAATACAAGTGAAACAAAATGAATGGATATGTTCTGGTATCATGATGGATGAATCAAAACATGAAGAAGTTGAGTTCTCATCAGAAGTAAGTCTAAAGTATAAATATAAGTAAAAATTAATTCTATTAAATACATATGTCTATATTTTATGTTAGTTTATAAATTATGACTTATTTATTATCATTTTATATATACTTACCACCATGACACATTAGATAGGTATCATCACAGTATTTTGATACACATCCTCCGTTCTTTACTTCACCTTTATCATAGTTCTCCATTTCGTTTTGGCTATCAATCATATACATACATATATAACATAGAACAAAATCAGCCAATGAGAAGTGAAGAACTACGACATGGGACGGAGGTGAAGGAGATGCGAATAGTGCGCAAAACTAGTACAACTGTGATGATACCTATCTAATTTGTCATGCTTATTACTTTGTATATTATAAATTAATTTTTCTTTAGGTATTGGAACGTTTAATTGGAATTTCATCCGAAGAAGTTCTTCAGTTAAAAAATAATCCTTTAAACTGTGCCCCACTAAAAGAAAAAATTGAAAAAGTATGTTAAATTGTGTACCTTATCCTTAAATTATAAATATAATAAACCAAAAAATTCTATGTTTAGGGAATTAAAGGGGCATATAGAAAATTGCACTTATTCAAAGGTAAGATAACTTTGACATATTCATTAGATGGGAAAAAAAAACCAACTATTACAGACATGGAATTAATATAACTGTATAATTATAGTACATTATACTGTACACGTTTGCTCAGTATATAATACCTATTAATGATAAACATTATTTAATACTTATAGTATGTTTTTCAGAAATCAAAGTCGTATGATATATTATTTTTATATTCTTATTTCATTAAGTATTAGCTATTTAATTTGTATAAAATTGAATTTAATTGTATTTCTTATTTTTACATGTATAAGACAATACCTATATTTGTTATTTATCACTGAAAATACAGTTTGGTGCATGAAAATACACAAATAGTTAACAACATACTTTAAAACTAAATTATTACTTTATTCTATATGATAATAATGGCTATTGGTGTTGCCGTATTACAAGCACTGTAAGTTAAACAATATTTTTAAAATTCAAATTTACATGAATTTGAAATAAGTGAACATTATTTCTTTTATTTAATTTAAATTGTCTACGAGCATCTAATGATGTTGAATCCTAAATATAGGGGGGAATTCATATCGCTTCTAGGAGGGGAGGGACAGCATTTACTTAAATTTAACATCAACCAAACTATTAAAGTCATTTGGATGCATGTAATAAAATTTGAAAAATTACTTCAAATATGTATTTAGTTATGTAAAAAACTAGAGGTTAAATTATCACTTTTCACCTTATATTTTTAAAGAAGCTATAGCTAAGAATTTACTAAACAGTAAACATTTAAAGAACTGACCAGCTTATGTTACCCCATACCACATATATTTAAAATAATTTTTTTTTACACAAATCATTAAGGTCAGAACCTTAAAGACTTAATGATTTATGTATGATTTATTTATGTATTTATTTATGAATTATTAGTTATTACACAATATATACTTAATCCCAGATTTTTTAATGTTATTATAATGTTTATACATTAACTTTTTATTCCTAGAAATTCGTATAGCATTTAATTATTTCACACCGATGAAAAACTACAAACTTTTACTTGCTTTCCCCGTTGCTTTCTATTATTTTACCAAAGTGAAGGTAGCGTTCAAAATTTGTTTTGAAAAAATGTAATAATTACATTTTAGGTATAATACAAATATAGCAGGTGTCGCCAACCAGTTGATCTTTAGAGGAATATTGGTCGATCATATTAAAAATGAATTATGGGTACTAATATCTGTTGATCATGTGCGTATTGCATTACATAATCTTAGAGATGAAGTCTGTTATTCATTTTTCTTATCCGGAGCCTAATTCTTCTTTGAGTGAGATGGTGTTTGTTTATATTTGATTTTGTCGGGCGTTTTGGTAAGTGGGGCATTCTAAGAATATCTCTTTGACAGCGAGTACACTGAGGCATGTCTTGCACCTGTGTTCGGACTCCTAACACATTAGATGGGATTATTAGAATGTGTGAGTCCAAATACCTACTCTGGTAACCTTTTTTTAGTTTATTTTCTTAAAATAATTGTAAAAAATTGTATGCTTGGTAAAAAATCTTTAAAGAATATGTTTAAGGGGGAAGGTCACTCCTATCCTTTACATACAGGGAATTCCGATAAAAGCGTAAAAAGAGGCTATGGTTTTTACCATAGCGTCTTTTTTACGCTTTTAGGATAGGTATGACCTTCCCCCTTAACAGAATATGTTACACATCATTTCCTAATAAGTTGTTCAACTTGATATTAGTCTAAAAACCAATAAAGTTTTATAACTGAACGAGTGTTTTTGATGACAACTTAATTATTAACTATTTTTATTTATACACATTTACGTTATTTTTCAAAATGTTGTTTATCGCTACTAAAATTGGTTAAAACAAAGACCAAAATCTTCAGTTAAATTGATTGATAAAATGGAGACAAATAATACATCACATCTATTTTAACAATTCCCACTCATTATTTTTAAACTAATTTCATTATCTTTTTCACACTTTAATAAAAAAATAATTTGATATAATATTGGAACACATAAAATGTGATGAAAATAATATTGAATTTAAAGGTTAAGCTCCTCTTTGTATAAATAGATTTATTTTTATGTTTATAATTTTATATACCTATTGTGCTTCTGTAATTTTGTGGTATAAATTGTAAATTTACTTATACTACTTGAGTAAAAAAAAAGATAGGTTTAATTCACTTTGTTTTATAATCATCAAATTCTTTCAATGTTAACTAAATATTTCTCAGGCTCCATATATTTTTTATTTTTTATAATTAGGTACATGTATTATTACACAAATAAAAAATATACATTTATTTAAATTTCTTTAACTCAAATTCCAAATTTCAGTATATTAATTACATATATAAATATATTTAAGTTAGGCAAGTATTCAATACAATAACAGTCTTAGTTTTCTAAATATTTTCTAAATTACATTTTAATTAAATATTTTTTTTTTTAAAAATACAAATTGTTCATGTTTAAACATTGATAATAATTGTGCTTGCGATTAGAAAAATAAAATTTATCAAATTAGATAAGTTAGAGTACATGCCATTGTATTACGAATAGCTAAAATTAAAACAAATTAACTTACATCAAAGAAGTACATGCTATTTATAAACAAAATCACAATGAGCAGAGCAGAGTGCGTCTGAAAGCTTAAGGCAGGTTTTGTTCTTAAAGTTAGGATATTTAGAGTATTAAATTACTCAAGTCAAAAATAATTACTACCCACAAATGTAGTTTACTATACGAGTTCATAGTTTCATACGATAGTGTACAAAATAGTACGCGATTGATCTATATTAGCGGTGTATGGCTATAATAGAATATACGAACTGTATTATATGAATATGTTTATTTCGGTAGGATTTTGTTTTCACGGGGGCTTGACAATTATTAATCATCATGTGCATCAACGCCACCGCCCATGAAATCTTTAAAGTCCATTGCCATTTTGTACGGATAACACCTATGTGACGAGTAAGAACAATGAAGCACAATGTGTATTTCGGCACACAACTGTAGTGTTAGACATTATAATATTAAATTAATTTTGATTTACCTAAATATGTTGTTGATGGCGAGCAATGGACTCGGAATGGAATGTTCAAACAGGTTCCTTCTGACGGCCGATATTATTTCTCTTGCTGTCGATTCAGGCGTTACAAGTGGTAACAAACTGGGAAAACTATTTAAAATAATTGTTTTATCAGTAAAACGTTTATAAAACACCATAATGCATGGTTGCATATAGATATTGTGGTTGCATCACTCGGACTTACCGAATTATAGGTTTCTTGCAGAGACCGGTGTCGACCATATACGGGAAAATAGAGGTGAAATTGAGATTTGTGAAGCCATCTCCTCTGCACTCGTCCATTATCGCTTCTGCTAGACCTAAAACCAAAATAATGTTTAGGTGATGACCGCCTAGTATTATATTAACTGTCCGAGGCGAGCCGACAATCACTAACCTCTAACTGCGAATTTGGACGCACAGTAAGGTACCAAGTTCTTCAAGCCAATTATACCAGCCATCGACGACAAGAATACTAAATGTCCTTTGTTCAGCGCTTTCATTCCAGGCAAAAATGTATCGAGCATCTACGGGTAAGACAAAATGTATTAACTCATTATTCTAGAAATAAAAACAATAAAATTATATATATGCCAAGATGACCCGTTAAAAAAGAAATTAAATAATAATCAACAAATCGGTTAAATGCATATTATTATATTTTAAAATGTTAGTATACTATAGACTAAAATTAATTTTCACCAAATATTTATCTTAGTAATTTCTAGAGGTGATTAAATGTTTGAAATGTTTTGGCTCTTTTTTAGTTATTTATAGACATTCTAAATTGCTTTCTTTTATTACTTAAAATATTTTTTTTTCAATTTATGTTCTCGTATTAAAGTTCCTCGTAAGTTCTTCCTGGATTAAAAAATAAGTTAAGCGTAAAGCCAAATTAATTTTTTATGAGCATTTAAAGTTTACATTTTGACAACATTATAATATTAAAGTCTATTATATTGTGCTGTACGATTAGTATCGATTATATAATTTAAAATTATAAATCAGTAATTTAAAATCAACGATTATTGTTCCTTTCTTCTTTTTAACTTCGATTTCTATTAGGTAATCATTCTCTTTCCGTTTCACTTGTCTCTATTCATTACTGTGAAACGGAACGGTTCGTTGTTATTATACTATTTACTATACAATATATAGGTATTAATTAAATACCAATGTTTGCAAGGTGTTATATAAAACACCAAAAATAGGCTAAATTCCACTGAATTCTTTTAGTTTTTTTTTCGCAAATTCTACTCGAATTTAAAATATTTGTAAATTAGGCAAATTTACAATAAAATCTCTTGCTTTATGTATATAAAAAACAAACCGTAGAAATATTAACAAAAAAAGTATCCACTATAATTGGTCATTTTTAACCCTATAAATGATTTCCTTCGTAAGCTAGTTATAACCGTCTTATACCAAGTCCCAACCAATGTCTAGAAGTTTGAACTATATTTAACTCTTCAATTTTATTAGAAATGGACCAAGGTGAATGATATTATACTACTTAATTAGATCATTCAAAATTCAGGGCTGCCACTAATAGTACTAATAGCGATAGTATACTTTTTCAACTAAAAGTCACTTTTTTTTGTAAGTCTCTAAAAGTACCCTTTTTCATTAAAAGTCACTTTTTTAAAATGAGATTGACAGTTTTCTTAAAATCAGCGTTTTTTGTATAAATCTATGTATAAAATCATGATATTGATAAAATGAGTTATATATCATAATATATGAATATTTTATGTTGTATTTAAATTGATAATTTTAATATTTTATACGACTTATTTTAAACCATGGTTGTAGATCTGCAACCGTGTTTTATTAGTATAATCAAAAATAGACAATGTATTAGTACCTCGGTTATGGGCGGCATTTTTCTTTGGGAAAGTCACGGTGTTCCGAGAACAATTGCCACCATCCCCCACCCGGACATGGCAGATACCTACGGGTGCCCAATCAAAAATTCTGCTAAACAAAACACACACGTGTTCCTCC